CAGATGGAAGATGATGTATATATTTCTTCATACAGCATATGCTTGTGGCTGATACAAGAGATCATCCTTCATTCCCAACAGAAGGATCATTATTCAAGTTAACCCAGGTATGAGGCTTACATGTTTTGATGTCTGGAAGCCTGTCATTAAAAAAACACACTGATTTATTTACATCAGTGAGTGTGAAAGGAGATATTGAGGTTAGCCTTATTGTGGATATCTCCTAGGATCGAATTAGAATTTAGTAGTTGGTTTTTGCGAAGGGAGGGAAACTGGAGAACTCGGAAAACCCTCAAAGCACAGGAGAGAACTAACAAACAACTTTACTCACATACAACACCAAGCTTGTCGCAACTCAGGGCGCATTGGTGAGAGTCGAGTGCTCTCACTGCTACGCCACCCATAAAGGATGGTGGGAACATAGAATATTACTGGAATATTATATGCTGATGTCTGATACAAGAGATAGTAACTTCATTCCCTACAAAAATATTGTTATTCCTGTGAAACTTCTTTCTAATTCTCCCCTTTTTTCTCGTATTTGATACAAGGAACTTGCAGGCCTTGGTGGTGATGTCCAGTTTTTAAAAAATAATATTGAAACACAGAAAAATGTTGAAATACGTGAGGATGTTGTGAGTAGAATAACTTGATTCTTCATTCTTAAATTCTGACTTATACTTTTTTTTTTTTTAAATTTTTTTTCACGGCATTTATAATTATTACTTGAAAACAATACAACAAAAAATCTGACTTATACTTTATAGCAATAGTAATAGTAAGTTTTGCAGTTTTTAAAAATGTATAACTTTTTCTACAGCTTTTTTTGGGCTTCATTGTTAATATTTTATGTATTGTCAAGTACAGTATATACTTATTTCAATAAAGTTAGTCACCAAAAACCTAGAAAGCTGTGATCGCTGAGAATCATGGGGAAATGTTTTATATCCAACAAGTAAAGCTTTTGACACAAACTGCAGCAGTTGAGGATACTCATAGGAGGTTAACTTGTAACTGGTAGAAGATCTCAAGTCCATCAACAGTTATCAAGTGGTCGAAACATGTAAAATGTATCTATCCATAATCCTTGTTGGTCTCAGCTTTGTAGCTTTTCAGGTGACTAACTTTATTGAAATAAGTGTATATATCTTATATTTGTATATCTTTAAAGGTATGACGTTTAAACTGCAAAACTTACTATTACTATCATGTCTACATACCAAAACCTCAAAGTTACAATGCCGACAATGTTTGAAAAGATCAAGAAATTTGAATAGCCAAGAGTCTGTCGCCATTCAATGGTTTCATTTTCTATTGTTCTCAAAAAACTTGCACTGGCTTTTATTAGATCCTATAAAGTAATGCTATAAAGTATGTCTTATTTTTTCCCCTAAATGTGTATGTTATTTTGTATGATTTCCAGGAAATGTGTATGTTTTTTGTATGATTTCCAGGAAATGTGTATGTTATTTCATATGATTTCCAGGAAATGTGTACTGTATGTTATTTTGTATGATTTCCAGGAA